AAAAAAAAATGATGCAACACGAGTAAATGATGACAAATTCTTCATTTTTCAGTTGTTCGTGAATCAAATTAAGTTCAACCTTTTCATTTGATCCAATTCACAACAAAAACAGACAAAAATCTCTAAATGATTCATTCACGTATCTTCCTGCTCTGGGCAGTGTGGAACTTTTTAGTTTCACAGAAAAAGACAGTCATGCAGATTCGAATCGACATGACTGAAACAAAGAAGTCAGACTCATTTTCTGAATACTATGAACCAAAACAAACCAGTACAAGCTTACCTGGACAAACTGAGTACATGCTGAGCTTGACAACCCAGGCGATGCCGATGTCAAATTCCCCATTCTAGATAAACGACACGAAATTAGGTTCAAACTGAGGGGAAAACAACTCAAAACAACACTACTTCATACACAACAACAGACTTAGATCAACACACAATATGACCTTGTTATAATCACTGGTCTGTAAAAAAGACATGTTGAAGATACAAGGAAAGCAAACGCAGCTAGTGCAGATACAAGAGAATTAGACTGGCAATTTAAATCAGTCATGTTGTTGAGTTGTCTAGTCCCAACTGAATCACTAACTAACAAGGATCTCACAGCTAGACTGTAATCTGATCAGATCACACAGGGGGGGATTTAAACACTTAATGACCCTAAAAACAGCCTATGGCTTTTGTCTCCTAAAATAGCTTAACGTTGTACCGTCCAGAACGGAACAAACACAACGGCGGTGTTGATTTGACCTACTGTTTATTTCAATGTAAACACGATCATGTTAAATTATATTATCTAATATTAATTATCCTCATAATGACCTTAGAGTCTGGTAAGCCTGTTTTGATTTGTAGAAACATCCTCTCGTAAACATTATTGGAGTGTAAATAACGACAAGCACCGCGTAATAAATAAAAAGCCCTCCTAAGACAGCAACCAGTTTTACATAAAACCCCCTTTTTCTTCTATTTTTGCTACAAAGTCCAAAACACAGGCGTACCTCTTAACCGGAACCACATTGATATGACGCGGAAGCCCCGCCCTCCACGGGTCTTTTGAATACTTTGCTGCAGCCTGTCCTGATCATTGAACATTATGAGACACAAGCTTGTTTTCCTCTAGGGGGACACAGTGGCTCAGAAACCCGAATTCCCATGATTTTGTAGCATTGCAGATATACTGTATATGCACACTAAAGGTGTGTATATAAATATTTTTAATATAGGCCTATTAATTCAGAAGACAGGCACCTGACATGCAAACAAATTATGCCTAAAATGCCTCACCCGTAAATCACACGATTGGTTCACCAGCGTTGAGAAAAGTAACAGATATCAGGTTACACTTAAAATAAGTCTATGTGATAATGAGTAGCGGTTTCAACAACATAAACAGTGGCACACACAAACCTTAACATCCAGTAACAGTACATTTCCTCACATTTATCCTATTCTCAATATTTTATTCGAAATCTTTTTTTTTCTCTCTCTGTCAAAGTCCGAGACTTCCAAGCCATTAGCCGCTGGAAGTAAATAAACAGAAGAAAACAAATGCAGTGAACGGTCACCGTTTGAGCTACAAACCAGCAGAGGCGGACAGTAACTAAGTACATTTACTTGAGTATTGT